GCCTTTGCATAGTCAATGAAACACAGATACACATTTCTCTGGTATTCTCCGCTTTCAGCTAAGATCCCTCTAACATTAGCTACAATATCCCTACTACCACAACCTCTTCTAAACCCAGCCTGGATTTCCAGTAGTTCTCTGCTGAGATGCTGTTCCAGTGTTTTTATATAATCTTCAGTAGAGTCTTGCTTGCATGTGATATCAATGATATTGTTCTATAGTTTCCACACTCTGTTGTGTCACCCTTCTTTGGAATGGGAACAAATATAGATCTCTTCAAGTCAGTTGGCCAAGTGGTTGTTCTCCAGACTTCTTGGCACAACTTGCTGAGCACGTCCAGGGCAGTATCTGTGAGCTGAAATATGTCAAATGGTATACCATCTATTCCTGGGGGCCTTATTTTTTGCTATTTCCTTCAAAGCAGCTTGAACTTCTTCTTTCAACACCATAGGCTCTTGCTCATATGTTGTTTCATTAGTTCATAAACATTGTTTTTTACACCAGATTTTTCCCTTTCCTTTACCCAGCCCTCCCTCCACCCATCAAATTGTGTAACCTCCCCTATCCTCCCTCTTCTGCTTATCTTCCCACCTTGGATTCTCATTTATATTCTAAACTAATAGTCTCATACAATATTTGTCATTATGAGACTGAATTAATTCACTTAGTATAACGCTCTCCAGTCTCTCCCAAGTTAGGTAGTAATTTACAAAGTCATTGATCCTGTGAGCTACATAGTATTCCACTGTATAAATTTACCATATATTCCTAATCTGTTCCACTGTGGTTGGACACTTGGGCTGTTACCATGTTTTTGCTATGGTGAATAATAATGCTATGAACATTGGTGTACAAGTTTCTGTTTGTACCTCAGTTCTCTTTTTCTCAGGGTATATTCCAAGCAGTGGAATAGCTGGGACATAGGGAATTTCTATGCTAAGCTTTTTGAGGAAATAACAAACTGCTTTCTAGAGTGGTTGTACAATTTTACAATCCCACAAACAATGGCTAAGAATTCCTATCTTGCTTGCCACATCCTCTCCAGCATTTATTACTTGCTGCCCTGATAAATTTTCCACTGCTACTGGGGTGAGATGGTATATCATTATGAATTTTTATTTGCATTATACATTATTGCATCATGGCCAGTGATTTTGAGCATGTTTTTTACATGTCTACTGGCCATCTAAATGTTCTCCTCTGTGAAAAGTCTTTCCACATCTCTTGTCCATTTTGTAATTGGATTATTAGTCTTTTTCTTCTGGAGTCCCAGGAGTATTCTGTAATTTTTTGTTATGAGACCCTTGTTTGAGATGGTATTGTCAAATATTTGTTTCCAGTCAGTAGGTTTTCTTTTCACCCTGTTGGAAAAAGTTAGTTTTTGATGAGCACAGAGATTTAATCTTTAGAAGGTCCCATTCATCAATTTTCTTTGCTTCAGATTGTGAATTTCTGGCTGTATATGGCAGTCTCTTTATAACATACCATAAACTAGGACATCTAAGCTTGATCCCACTTTGTCGCTTATGAACTTTACGGTTTGAGGCTTTATTCCCAGGTCTCTAATCCACCTTGAGTTGATTTTTGTATATGGTGTGAGATGTGGATCCTATTTCAGCTTTCTACAGGTAGAGTCCAGTTTAGCCAGCATGATTTGTTGAAGACGTTGTCATTTCCTCATTTGACAGGTTATTTCCTTATCAAATATCAATTGACCATAGATAGATGGGTACATTTCTGGGTTCTCAATTTTGTTCCATTGGTCTATGTGCCTGTCATTGTGCCAGTACCATGCTGCTTTAGTTACTATCACTGTGTAGTAAGTTTTCAGGTAGGGAGTGCTATACCTCCCACTTGATTTTTGGTTTTCAGAAGTGATTTGCTTATTTGTGGGGGTCTCTTTCCTCTCCATATAAACTTGACAATTTCCCTTTCAATCTCCTTGAAAAAGAAATTTGGTATCTGGATTAGGATTGCATTGAATATGTACATTGCGTTTTGTAGGATTGTCATTTTCACAATATTGAGTCTTCCTATCCATGAACAGGGTACATTTGTCCATTTATTTAGGTCTTTTATTGTGTCTCACAAAAATGTTCTGTAGTTTTCTTTTGTGCCTTTAGTTAGGTTCACTCCAAAGTATCCCAATTTGTGGTTGGCTATTGTAAATAGCATTGCTTTCTTTGTTTCCTTCTCTGAGTTCTCTATGTTACTGTAGAGGAACCCCACAGATTTTTTTTTTAAATATTAACCTTGTATCCTGCAACTCTACTAAATTGGTAGCTCAGGCCATGGTCGTTTCAATTACCTGCTATGCATCTGAGAGCTGGACAATGAATAAGCATGACAGAAGAAGTGAAGCCTTTGAAATGTAGTATTGGAAAAGAGTACTGAATATCCCATGGATTGCCAAAAGAACATCCAGTTATGTCTCAGAAAATGTACAGCCAGAGTGATCCTTGGAGGCAAAGATGGAAAAGCTTCATCTCACTTATTCTGAACATGATGCTTGGAGAGGATAGCCCTGGGAAAGAGACAGTATACTTGGAAAGGTGGAAGGTCAGCAAAAGAAAGGAAGACCCTCAATGAGATGAAGTCACACAGTGATTGTAGCAATGGGATCAGGTGTGTCAGATTTGATGAAGATGGCACAGGATAAAACAGATTTCAAGTTTGTTGTTCATAAGGCCGCTGTGAGTTGTACTAGACTCAAGGACTCCTAATAGAAACAAACAGGTGATAGTAGGCAATTGCTATTAATTGTGTGAGGTGTGTTATTATAATTATAAATCAATATGTCCTAAATTTGCTTTAAAATATACTAGTAAGAACATGAAAATAGTCAAAATGTTCAACCCCAACTGAATGGACTGAAAAATTGTGGGACATTCAGACAATGGAATATTATGCAGCACTCAGAAGCAACAATTTTTAAAAATACAGGATTGAAGGTAGACTCATTAACACTCCTGCGTTATGCAGATGACACAACCCTGCTTGCTGAAACTGAGGAGGACCTGAAGCACTTGCTGCAGAAGGTCAAGGATTGCAGCCTTCAATATGGATTGAAGCTCAACATCAAGAAAACAAAGATTCTCACCACTGGGTCAACTGGTAGCACCATAATGGATGATGAAAAGATTGAGATTGCTGACACCTTTCATTTGCTTGCCTCTATAATCAACAGTATTGGTACCAGCAGCCAGGAAATAAAAAGACGAATTACATTGGGAAATTCTGCTGTCAGAGACCTCTCCAAGGTACTGAGGAGCAACAATGTCAGTCTGGAGACTAAGGTGCACCTGATACACTTCATGGTCTTTGAAGTTATTTTCTATGCATCAGAGAGCTGGACAATGACTAGGGATGACAGAAGGAAAGTTGATGCCTTTGAGCTGTGGTAGTGGAGAAGAGTACTGAATATAACATGGACTGCTAGAAGAACAAACAAGTTCACCCTAGAGAGGATGAAGCCAGGCTGCTCCTTGGAGGCAAGGATTCTGAAGCTGTGTCTGACATAGTTTGGACATGTTGCTAGGCAGGATCAATCCTTGGAAAAGGACGTCATGCTTGGGAGGGTGGAGGGACAGCACAGGAGAGGAAGACCCTCGATGAGATGAATTGCTTACATCACTGGGGTAATGGGGATAGGCATGTAGGAGTCAATAAGATTGACAAGGGATAGACCAGGGTTTAGGGCTTCTGTACATAGGGTTTCTATGAGTCGCAGGTAACTCTATGGCACATAACAACAACTTGGGAAAGGCTGGAGAGCATTATGCTGAGTGAACTAATACAGTCTCATAAGGACAAATACTACAGAAGACCAGTATTGTAAAAATAGAAGGATAACTAGTAAAACATGCACAAGAACTCAACTAGAGGAGGGCTGATAATGGGTAGGGGCGAAACCACACAGTTACAGAGTTTGGTAGGGGGGAAGGGAAGAGGGAACAGAAGGACCTGAGCAAAAATACAGGGTAATAATGCGCAAAGTCCAACGGTAATAAATTTTATAAAACATAATGCATGACAAAGATTGTATGAAACACAACGTGAATGAAGATCAGTGTGAAACACAATGTATACAAACGTTGTAAGCAAACGAATAAAAAAATCTTTTTTTAAAAAAATACAAAGACCCTCCAGTAGGTTTTCAAGGCTGTAAATCACACAGGAAATTACTCATCTTTTTCCCCAGTGAACTGCTAGTGGATTTGAACTGTAAGAGAGATACAGCCTTTGGGATAACAATATAATTCCCTATGGACTATGTTACCAGAGCTTCTTTGTATGGCAAAATGTGAAATTGTTGATAGACACCATGCTGGGAAATGTAGAAGGTCAGCAACAAAGAGGAAGATCCTTAATGAGACAGGTTGACACACTGAAGGCAATAAAGGATTTCAGAATCTCAGAAATTTTGAAAATGACACAAGATAGGGCAAGGATCCAATTTGTTGTTCATGGGGTCACTATGAGTTATAGTCAGCCTGATCATATCTAACAACGTATTCTTGCCTTTACTTCTGTGTGCATTTAAAATTTACATGAGAAATTCAAAGAAAGAGAGTAGAAGAACAAAAACAAATACCTCAGGAGGATATTATCTGAGTCAAGGGTGACAACAGTTGCCTCTGTAGCTTGTAGTGAAATTAGCTTTCCAAGTGCCTCTGATGTTTTGTCCTATAAAAGAAAAAGAAACATAATCACAACAGGAAAAAAAGAAAAAGCTTTGATTTTAACTAAAATAAAGACATATTTACACAAAAGACTGCTTTAAAAATGTTCTATTTTAAAATTTTTATTTACTATAATTTATAAAGAAACATTAATAAAAATATAAGAAAAACTATTTTTACACAGGCAAAGGGCAAGAAAGGAAACTCATTTAAGAGGAAATATAATACACGGAAGAAAATGTTTCTCTCTGGTATTAATGTGGGAAATGCAAACAGAAGTAATCCTGAAATATAATTTAATAGCCACTAACTTAGAGAGCTCTGGTGGCTTAGTGGTAAGGAGGTGAGCTGCCAACCCAAAGCATGCAGTTCGAATCCACACCAGCAACTCTTCTGGAGAAAGATGGGCAGTCTCCTTCCATGTAATTTACACACTCTGAAAATCTGTTGTGAGTCAGTTCTAATTTGATAATAAACAACTTAGCAAGGGTTGAGAGCCAGCACAGAAGGCGAAGACTCTAAACAAGATGGACTGACATAGTGACTGTAACAGTCAGTTCGACTATGTCTGAAATGGTCAGAAAGGTCATTATCTATCCATTCTTATCCTATTCTCTTTCCAACATTTAAAAAAGAAAAAGTGAACAGGGGGAAGGGGAAGAGTGGGAGAGGAGATAAAATGTGCACCGATGAATGACTAAATATGTCAGTTCTCTGTAAACTTTCATTAAAAATCACAATTAAAACAAAATTTTACATAAAAAATAAATAGTCAGAATGAGACAAGACAGAACAGCATTCAGATCCACCATTTGTAGTCATGATGAGTCAGAGGTGACACCTAGCTACAACAAAACAACTTAATAAAATTTGAGATTAGGTTCGAAGTTGTTTAATTTGGTGTAAAATTAGTTCATTGATATACTCATTCTGGAACTACAAAATTGTTACAATTTTGTAGAATTTTCCTTACGAAAATTTTTCTCTTTACCCCAGTAGTCACATCCTCTGGAATTTATCCTAAAATACTAGTTCAATACAAGTGACTATTAGACAGAATTTGTTGAAAGCCAGATTATATAAAATTAAAAAATTAAAATTATTTGAGAACAAAACCAGAAAATACAACAAAATTACAGAATATTAATAAGAAATAACAAATAATGGGCAAAGGCCATGTGCTGCTAAGGCCACACTGTGGATTTCTTTGAGTTGCTTAGCTAGGTAGTTGTCTTAAAAATTTCTTAGCATGGTCTGGACTGCTTTCCTGCTAGTAACACTAGAATATGGCCCTGCCACTTAGATCCAGGGCCCCTCGACCTGGAGTCTCCCAGCTCTTCTGCCTGGAAGCACTGGCCCCTCCACCAGAAGGCCTTGGGCTTTCTGCCTCGACACCCCAAATCTGCTGCCTGGAGGTCCTGGATCCACTGCCTAGGGGATCTGGCCCACCCAGTTGGAGGACGACCTGCTGTCTCCCCTCTGAACTCTGGCAGAGACACCAATATCGCAGATAAAGCCATTTCCTCCCCCCTCTCAGAGCTTGAGCTCCCTTGAGCTTCGCACCCTTTGGACCCGCCTAGCTGAAGCACTTACTTGACAAGAGAAGATTGCTAATCCATAAGTCATATCTCTCCCCAGCTGAAGCAAGTCTTCACTAGAGTCAAAAGATCACAGAGAAACTCAGGCACAGTAGCTGCTGTGACCTCCTCTGGAGCAGTGACTTGCTGAGCCAAAGGTTATCAGACAAAGAGCCTGCTAAGGTCTCAGACTTGAAAAACTCTACCACAGAAATGGCACAGAAGATGCCTACACAACCTACACAAACCCAAAACAAGATGTCACTCACAAAAACTGACACAATATCAATGGATTTCCTGAAGTCAGAGGTCTGATGGAACTTTCTGACACAGAATTCAAAAGAAAAATGATTTAATATTTTCAATGGCTAAAAGGCAAACTGGAAGAATTACAGGACTCTGCAAACAAAAACCAAGAGGAACTTTAAAAAAAAACAATCCAAGACAATGAAGATAAAACAAATAAGGCATGAGAGGCTTTGGAAAAACAAGAAACCACAATCTAGAATATGAGGACCAATGTTTTAGATGCTGTCAACATGTTGGAGGGACATATGAGCAGAGTTGAAAAGAAAAAAAACACAAAATCAGTGAAATAGAAGACAATTCTCACCATTGAATGTTAAAAAGCAAAATGAAAAAGAAAGGAAAAAGAAGAAAGTCTAAAAGTAATGTGGAACACCATTAAGAGGAATAACATGTGCATAATCAGAATCGCAGAACAGGAAGACAAAAGTAAAGGTACCAAAAAAGTAGTGAAAGAAAACTTTCCAGGCATAATGAAGAATGTTGTTATTATTGTTTTGTGCCATGGCCTCACCTGTGACTCATAGCAACCTACGTACAACAGCTCTAAACTCTGCTGTAACCCGTGCCAATCTTACCTTTGACACACCTATCCCCATTACCCCAGTCACTGAATCAATCCACCTTATCAAGGGTATTCCTCTCCTGTGCTGTCACTCCACAATCCCAAGCATGATGTCGCTCTCCAAGGACTGATCCTGCCTTGAAACATGTTCAAAGTATGTCAGATGATGCTTCAGAATCCTTGTGTCCAAGGAGCAGCCTGGCATGACTCTCTCCAGGAAGAGTTTGTTCTCCTAGTAATCCATGGTATATTAAACAGATTATCTGGGAGGCTGGGCTCTATGAAGAGATGTGGCATCAGAATTGGAGGTATATTCATCAACAGTCTGCGTTATGCAGATGACAAAATCCTGCTTGCTGAAACTGAGGAAGACCTGAAGCACTTGCTGCAGAAGGTCAAGCACTGCAGCTTTCAATATGGATTGAAGCTCAACATCAAGAAAACAAAGATTCTCGCCACTGGGCCGATTGGTAGCACCATAATGGATGATGAAGAAATTGAGATTGTTGACAGCTTCTGTTTGCTTGCCTCTACAATCAACACTATTGGTACCAGCAACCAGGAAATTAAAAGACGAATTACACTGGGAAATTCTGCTGTCAGAGACCTCTCCAAGGTACTGAGGAGCAACAATGTCAATCTGGAGATTAAGGTGCACCTGATACACTTCATGGTCTTTGAAGTTACTTTCTATGCATCAGAGAGCTGGACAATGACTAGGGACGACAGAAGAAGAGTTGATTCTTTTGAGCTGTGGTGCTGGAGAAGAGTACTGAATATACCATCGACTGCTAGGAATGAAGAATGAGAAAACAGACCCCAAAAGAACAACACCAAGGCATATTATAGTCAAATTAACCAGAACCAAAGATAAAAAGATAATTCTGAAAGATAATCTAGGGAGAGAACAAGTAAGATTAAGTGTCAATGTCTCAGAAGAAACCATGTGAGCAAGACAGTGGAATGACATATATCGGACATTCAAAGAATATGACTGTCAACCAAGAAAACTATACTCCGAAAAACTGTCCATCAATCTGAAGGAGAGATGAAGATATTCTTCAAAAAGCATAACCTAACAGAGTTTGTAAAAGCTAGACCAGACTTGCAGGGAAAAGTGAGTGAAGTCCTCCCTACAGAGATGCCACAGAAAACAGGAAGGACCAAAGTAACCATCAACAACACCAATAAGAAATCATCAAAACTATAGTATTAAAACCTTACTTCTCAATAATTACATTGAATGTAAATGGTTTAAATGCACCACTGAAAAGAAAAAGAGTAGCAGATTAGATAAAAACAAAACAAAACAAAAAACCCATCTCCTACAAGAAGAGGATAAATTAGATGAATGGGACCTTCTCAAAATCAAATCCCTATGCACATCCAAAAAAATTACCAGCAGGGTAAAAAGGGAAGTCACAGACTAAGAAAAAATATTTGGTAATGACATGTCTGATAAGGGACTGATATCTAGAATTTATAGAGTACTCCAGCACCACAAGAAGATAAAGGTAAACAACCCAGGTGCAAAATGGGCAGAGGATATGAACAGACAATTCATAAAGACATTGAGATGGCTAACAAAAACATGAAGAAATGTTCAAAATCCATAGCTCTGAGATGCAAATCAAAACAATATGAGACACCATCTCATTCCAGTAACAATAGCAAAATTCAACAAAGCAGCAAACAACAAATGCTGGTGAGGTTGTGGAGAAACAGGAACCCTTATTCACTGTTGGTGGGCATGTAAAATAGTGCGACCACTATGGAAGGCTGTATGGTGCTTTCTCAAAAAGTTGTAAGTAGACATACCATTGGACCCAGCAATTCCACTCCTGGGAATATATCCTAAAGAAACCAGAACTGCCACCCAAGCAAATATATGCATACCCATGTTTATTTCTGTTTTGTTCACAATAGCAAGCAGTTGGAAACAACCCAAGTGCCCATCAACAAATGAATGGATAGAGAAGTGGTGGTATATTCACACAATGGAGTATTATGCAGCACTGAAAAACAAAGAATTCATGAAATATTATACAAAATGGGTGACGATGGAGTGAAAGACCTCAGTTGCAAAAAGACAAAAACTACATAATGCCATTGTTATAAAACAGGACTGACATGGGGGTTAGGGGGAAACTAAGAAAAGTGGGAATAAATAATGTACATGGTATTGAAACATATGACAGAGAGAACTGCATAAACGGAATATAAAACTAGGTATTATTGGTATGACAAGAGTGCATAATAAGAGCTGCAAAGTAAAGTGGTCGGGGGGGGGGCACTGTATAACAATGAAAGAACTTTTTATCCAAAGGGAAAAAGTAAACTGGGGTGGGGGGACGCAGGGAGGAAAATGTACAATCAATGAATGAAAAATCCAAGTTCTTTATAAACTTACAACAAAATCTCAATTAAAAAAAAACAACCCTATCAACTCCTTAAAAAGATAAATAAGGTAGGAGGCATCTCACTCCCTGATTTCAAATCCTACTAACTGCAGTGGTGCTCAAGACAGCTTGGTACTGGTACAATGGCAGACACATA